TCAGAATTAAAACGTTAGATGGATGATTTGTGTGATAAAAGAATTCACTAATGTTTTTTGTATATTATTTAAAGATAAAACTATATGTATTTTAATTATCTGTTAAAATTATTAAAAAATGTAAATTATAAGATCATTTCTAAGTGAAATATGAAACCTGCATGTTTTTAAATTTTAATAAACTTTAGTTGATACAGCAATGAATTAGAAAATGTTTTTAGCAATTGATTATGGTGACAGATGATAACAACCCCTTGGGGGATGGAGAACGCACACCAAACAACCCTAAGGATTCTTCAACAACTGAGAACCTTCTCGTGGGATGCAAAAGTGTTGGTAGCTCTAGCCGGTTTCGCTTTGGAGTATGGAAACTTCTGGAACCTTTATCAGGCATCAGACCCTCTGGGGAACTCGTTGAAAGTGCTGAATCAGGTTCAGCATAGACAGCTTCCGGTGGTTGATCTGAACTCAACAGTGAAGCTGGTGCTGGAGGCTGTTGAGAAGATCAGTCGTTGGGGAACCTTGTCTGCTGATGAAAGCTATGACACCGAGGATGTGCCTGCTTTGTCGGATGCATTGGAGCAGATCCCCCTTGTTGTTTACTGGGTTGTCGCTTCCCTTGTCGCTTGCAATAGCAACCTCCAGGGTGTATCGTAAGTCTTATCTCAACAAAACACGTTCTTCATGTCAAATGTCGTCGAGTAATTAATCCTAAACTTTTTATGTTTCAGGAACTATCCGTTACTGGAATTTCGTGCCAAACTTTCTCTCGCTCTGGATGAGTTCGCCAGGCCACTAGTGATATGCGAGAAGCAAAAAGGTTTTTGTCTGCTCAGAGTTTCTGCATGNCTTCTTGCCTTGAACCTTTAGACAAGTGACCTACCATCTTTTGAGAAAGCTAAAGTTTCATCGAATTCCAACACCAACAAAAACATGGCAATTATATCCTTTATCATATGGCCACTCACCAAAGAATCCATTAGGGCAAACCTGAACTTTGCACAAGAGAGCACATTTCACGTTTTCTATACAGCAAATAAAGAAGCTGTTTGTTTATATGCTTTTTTGATTCTTCTCTAAAATTTGTCTCCTCCAACCTAAAGTTAATAATTATTCCAAATGTAAAGCCTCCAAGAATCTTAACTTATAAATAGGTCGAGCAACTTAATGATAGCACAAGAGACATCATTTCCATCCAAATTAATTAACGTACGAAATAGCAACATGTCGATCTCTAAACCTGAACAAAAGCCTCTTCTGCCAAACCCATTTCAGTTGAGTGACATTGAGCTCATTGAGAAAGTGTACGCATCCCACACTTACGATGACGAAGTGTTTGATAGTGAGCCCCTTTTCAACGTGGTGTCCAGCGTTATCAAGCTATCAAGTAGAGTTGTAGGGGCTATTCTCAAGGTAAATTAACAAAAATCAAATTCATAACTTACAAAATCTCTTTTTTTATGTTTTATAGCTTCCTTTTCTTAAGTCATCAGTAATTATAGCTTCCAGTGTTCAGCTACCTGACTATAATTTTGGTTGTCATGCAGATCGATGAGCAAAATGGTTTTGCAGGAAATGCTATTGCCATAAACATTTCCAAACCAGAATTCTCAAAACTGAAGCTCATTTCCTGTCATGTATTTTGTCGCTCACTCCATTTTATTAGAAATCATATATATCGAGTTTTAATTATGATTTGTTTGCGAAGAAATCACCCCATTTGAATATACTTAGGAACATATAGTAGCATATTTTCTAATATACACTTCATGCATTCACATGTTCTATTAAAGCAAAACTTAAATGTAGTATTACAAGGGTTGTTAAGACCATTTTCTGTCAGAATTAAAACGTTAGATGGATGATTTGTGTGATAAAAGAATTCACTAATGTTTTTTGTATATTATTTAAAGATAAAACTATATGTATTTTAATTATCTGTTAAAATTATTAAAAAATGTAAATTATAAGATCATTTCTAAGTGAAATATGAAACCTGCATGTTTTTAAATTTTAATAAACTTTAGTTGATACAGCAATGAATTAGAAAATGTTTTTAGCAATTGATTATGGTGACAGATGATAACAACCCCTTGGGGGATGGAGAACGCACACCAAACAACCCTAAGGATTCTTCAACAACTGAGAACCTTCTCGTGGGATGCAAAAGTGTTGGTAGCTCTAGCCGGTTTCGCTTTGGAGTATGGAAACTTCTGGAACCTTTATCAGGCATCAGACCCTCTGGGGAACTCGTTGAAAGTGCTGAATCAGGTTCAGCATAGACAGCTTCCGGTGGTTGATCTGAACTCAACAGTGAAGCTGGTGCTGGAGGCTGTTGAGAAGATCAGTCGTTGGGGAACCTTGTCTGCTGATGAAAGCTATGACACCGAGGATGTGCCTGCTTTGTCGGATGCATTGGAGCAGATCCCCCTTGTTGTTTACTGGGTTGTCGCTTCCCTTGTCGCTTGCAATAGCAACCTCCAGGGTGTATCGTAAGTCTTATCTCAACAAAACATGTTCTTCATGTCAAATGTCGTCGAGTAATTAATCCTAAACTTTTTATGTTTCAGGAACTATCCGTTACTGGAATTTCGTGCCAAACTTTCTCTCGCTCTGGATGAGTTCGCCAGGCTACTAGTGATATGCGAGAAGCAAAAAGGTTTTTGTCTGCTCAGAGTTTCTGCATGTTTTTACTTTACTTAAGTGATGAAAAGAAGTTAACTCGCTAAAATTTTACTGTTGCAGATCGTGTAGAAGACTACCGGAGGCGTAAGAGGAACTTTAACAAGCCTAAAGACATTGTAGACTTTTTGAAGCTCTTGATCAGTAAAAATGGCTCTCAGAACGCTCAAATATACGATGGCAACGCCAGAAGGACAGTGGTTCGTATCATATTAGTCGTTTCGAGGTTTAATTCAGTGTAGAATTATTATAAGGTCTCAATCGTCTTACTATAAATAAAAAACGATGGTTTGTTTTGCTTGTGAATAGAATGTTGAGGTTTTCAAGGACAAGTACGTGTTGCTATTCATTTCGGGGTTGGACAGAATAGAAGATGAGATTCGGCTTCTGAATTCAATCTACGAGGGACTAGTGGAGGATCCGAATGACAAGAGCGGATTCAAGAAAGAGGAGTTCAAGATCTTGTGGATTCCGATGGAGAGTGGATGGGGTGATGCGCGGAGGGAAGTGTTCAACACTCTGAAAAGCTACATAAAATGGTACGTGGTGGAGTACGTTGAACCCTTGCCAGGAACAAGGCTGATTGAAGAGGATCTAAAGTTCCAGGGTAAACCTATTCTTCCAGTGGTGAAGCCACAGGGCGTGCTGCTGAACGATGATGCATTGGACATCATCTTCGAATGGGGAATCGACGCATTCCCTTTCAGAAAATAGGATGCCTACCTACTTGCGCAGAAATGGAAATGGTTCTGGGACGAAGTAAAGAAAACAAATCTTCACGGCATACAGGTAATAAAACCCCCAAAACAAGCTTACCAAGTTTTCTGTACATTCACCGACTAACCCTAAAATTGTTGTGTGTGTGAATGAATAGGTGAAAGGTGATAGGTACGTGTTCATATATGGAGGCAGCGACAAGTGGAGCCGAGAATTCAGTGTGGCAGTGGATAAAATAAAGAGGCACGAAACAATAAAGAGGGCAGATGCAATAATAGAGCATTACCATTTGGGGAAGGACGATCCGAAGATAGTTCCTCGGTTCTGGATCGGAGTGGAAGGGAAGAGACAGAAAAAGCATTCGGAGAAGTTGGACTGTGAGATCCAAGAGATTGTAAAGTCTTTGCTTTGCCTGAAGCAGGACACGCAGGGATGGGCCATTCTCAGCAAAGGGTCCAACGTGAAGATTTTAGGGCACGCCCAACCCATGTATCAGACTGTGGCTGACTTCGAAAAGTGGAAAGACAGAGTTCTGGTCAAAGAAGGCTTCGACATTGCCTTCCAAGAGTACTATGAGACCAAGCGTCATCTTCCTGCTCCTCAACCATGCGAATTCAACACTCTTGATGTTCTCGCAACCATAACATGCCCTAATTCCTCTTGTGGACGCGTCATGGAGGTCACTTCCGTTAACTACAAGTGCTGCCATGGTGGCAATGTTGCTGACCACGCCTTCCCATCTCCGACAACCCAAACCTTATAAACCTCAATTACAACCTCAGTTTGTTTTGGAGAAACTACGCCAACCTGAATTAAGTGTGTGTTTTTTACTATATATCTATGTTTGCATGCATGTGAGTCTGAACGACTCGGTCCCTTGCGACCTCTTCATAAATAATGCCATATTTTGTATCTTCTGAGTCAGATTATTCAATAAATAATTCCTTCTCCGACCGCATTTCGAAATCCTTCCAATCTTTTAGTACTTCCACTGCTCATATTCAGTTTTTTTTAGTCAAAAGTTAATGTGTATAAGGGTGCCGTTGAATACCAATCAAGCTTACAAATATACGATCACGATCTTATTGAAAGTAACCTACACTCAGTAGCTGCATAAAAAATGGTTTTCTGTAAGCTAACTTTTAAAACTTTTCTTCTCTCTTTATTATAAATTCCAAGACTACACCACCCAGTCATTTATAATTTCAAAAAAAGTACATGAAATAACCTTGTTTGACAATTTTATTTTTACCTCTAATTTCAACTAAATTAATGCCAAGTGTTGACATCATTCGTTTGGGTCACTCTCAAGTTGTAGTTGTTTTATGTGTTTTTCTTGCTTATACCACCCCCAATCCAATGGAAACAAAGTTGACTATAGTTTCACGAAAGGTGGGTGATGAAGTGGGTCCATCATTTGGTGGGTTCTTGATCGGGGGCTACCCTCCAAAATAGTAATTGGTTGGAGCTTGATTATGTGTATAAACTTTGACCCACCAACGGTCAAACACAGTTTAATTGACCGTGTTTTGAATGTGCTATCTACTCGCACCCCATTTCCTCTGCCTATAATGTATAAATACCCTTTCTCTCGTACATGCTCTTAACTAAATTAACCGAGAACAATAGTACTACATGGATTCATTTTTTCCCGAGAAACTTCTGGGTGAGATCTTCTGGGATCAACTTTTGCCCACTGATCAAAGTGATGTAGTTCAAAATTCCCGTATCATCAAGGCTGAAGCTTTCCCTCCAGCAACTCAAAGTGCTTTTCTTCAATATAGAGACCTACCCAGAAGAAATAACCCTCTGAACGGGTCAAATTCAGAGAGCATGAGTAAGAGGATGCTTGCATTCTTGAGAAAAAGTTCCCCTGTGGAGAGAAATAACGTAGAAGAGAATGAAAGAGATCGCAGTTTCAGGCACATGATCAACGAGAGAATGAGAAGACAGAGACAGAGACAATGTTGCTTGGCCCTGCATTCAATTTTACCACACGGAACCAAAGTATACAGATATTGGTTTATATATATTATTACGAATATCTTTTGTGTAATTATATATATACATATATACCCATAAACATTTTGAGGATGAAAAATAAAACTAATCGAACTTATTCATAAAGTAATTCTAAGAAAAGTCCATTTTTTCTTCTTCACGTAAAAGTGATGGAAAGTGGTCGAAACAGAATGCATGTATATATTTTGAAATTTGAATCTCCCCAACACTCTGTATTTCATGTTTTGTGGCAGACGGATAATAATTCTGTAATTCAAACAGCAGCAAAGGAGATTGTAAGGCTAAAAGGATGCAGAGAAGAGCTGCAGAGGAAAAATAGCGAGGCTGAAGGTGTTTGTGTGAGGAAGAAAGATGGAGGAAGAAAGATTGCATATTTGAGAGTTGCAGATCCTGAGTGTGGAATTGATTCAATGGTTGAGAGGCTGAAGTGGTTGAAAGAGGAAGGAGTGGAGAGCAGGAGGATCAAATCAAGTTTCTCCCCAAAGGAGTTGTTTGCAGTGTTAGAGATAGAGAGTGGTGAGGAGGTATAAGGTTCATGGGAAACTTGTAAGAACAAAACGATAGAGTCGGGATTTTGTTATAAGTGAAGCTTGAATTTGTAAATAATGTAGATGATAGACAGACACACGTGTGGGTAGGTCAATTCACTCCTCTTTTCTTTATGGTGGTCAAGCTTGTACACATGTAACACTATTTCAATTTTAACTCAAATTCAGTTATTAAATAAATACCCTGTCTTGTTTCAGTCATTGGATAGAATTAGTGTGTTCATTTTGTAAATGAAGATTTCCAAAATGTAACAAATTATTAATGCAACCGTGAATCAAACATGAGGTCTAAGGAGCAATGAACGATGTTTAATAGAAGGGTCCTGTAGTTTTTTCTTTATGATTTTAGAGAAATTGATAATTTTCCAAAATTCGAACAGTTACGTGGGTTCAATTTTAGAGGTATAACTTGTTATATAATTGTAATTTTGTACACAAAAACTAAGGAATAAATCTATAATATTAAATATCTTTATCTCAATACTTCAAGTAAATGCATATCATATAATTTTAACTTGATAATCTCTCAAAAAAAAAACTTGGCTTGTCATAAATTTGGTGAGAGTATACATGTTAGTTGATTTTTAGATCAAGTATTTGAAAATTCAATAATAATTTTATCAAGTTTTTTCTTGATGAAAAAACTATCAACATCCACCTTTTTCATACAACCATGTACTATTGTGAGTAATATTATGTACAACTTTATTATTACAAACAGTCCAACTTTATTATCATCACATCCTTCATATAATAACATTCACATGTTGTTAACTTGGATTATGCATGAACTGGTTAACTACACTAATATAAGCTAAATCTGTTTTAGTGTTTGAGAGATACATCAGTCTCCTTACCAGTTGATATCTTCCCTTATTAGTTAAAGTTGGATATTTTCAATATACAACTTTAATCTCCATTCAATTATAAAAATTGTTGGTTTGTACATTGTCAACCTAGTTTTTTAACATATATAAATCCAAGGTGCATACTTTCATTCTTAAAACTCAATTCCCATAAAGAACTTGATAAGATCAAGATCTAGCATAAGTGTTTTTGTTGTGTTAGGTTTTTTAGAAGACAATTGGTGTGGTATATCTTCAACATGACAAATATTCGATATCTACGTGCTCAAATTCTTCTTCATTATATGGTTATTGATTATGATATTTTTACACACTTTTATGATATTGTTTTATACTCATGATTTTCTAATTAAAATTTGTTACTTCCTTTCTCCACTTTGAACTTATTATCAAAATTTTAATGGAATAAAAGCCCAAATTTCATTATAATTCTTCCCCTGAATTTTAGACTAAGAAAAAAAATATCTCACGAAAAAAAAAATATAAAAAAAAAAATAAAAAAAAACCCACATCAGTTAGAAATAAGGTTAGTTTAGAATATATAAGTGGGTGCAAACTTCAATTTACAACATGGTTTTGTGAAGTTGAGTTAAGCTTAAAATCTAATTCTTAACATCATATCAAAGTTTGGTTAGAGCCTATCCTAACACTCGATATGTATATACCTCGGTATATACCCTTTTTGGTTTTTATCATAGCCCAAGAACACACAAATTTTAGCTGTAGGGGACAACTTATGATATAGGACTATCCTTTGATCACATACAAGAAAAACTTCAGAAGGAACCAATGTAGTTATTGGAATTTAAAGGACATGAAGATCATGACTTAGAGCACACTTGAAGAATAATTTTAGGTAATTAAAAGTTTTGTAATTTTTTTTATGTAAGCTCGTTCGGCGACCTGATTCACTGGGTGAGAATGTATTTATGAGTTTACAATTTATAAGTTTCGTTGGACAAGGTAAGTTTCCCTAGGTGTCGCGTCCCTAGGAGAGCTTAATTATCTCGTTGAACGAACAAGTTTGAGTTTGTTAGGCGAATAGATGTAAGCACTTTTAGTCATTAATTGAATATAAATTCATTAAGAAAAATTATTCTCTTGGTTCTTGTCTTAGGACAATGGTTCTTATCAAAAATTAACATCTTTGTGGCAAATCTTTCTTGAATTATCAATCTACTAGATTGTGACGTCTCCATTCCTCTCTAATTTTGTATTCTTTATCCAATTTTCTTATTTATTTTACAGAAGGAATCCAAAGTCAGAACCTAAATTGTGACGTCTCTATTTCGGTTTGAAGAATATGGAGTCTTTGTTAGAAGAATTTTGAAGAGATGTATTCATCCTTATAAGAACAAATAGGTACATAAGCCCCCAAGTTCATAATTCACAAATGAAGTGCAAGATGAATGAACGAGCTTAAGTGTTTTTACTCAAATAATTGATCATAAGATTATATAAAGATTAGCCTCTTTTCAATCTTTCACCAGGTCGGATTTATTTTATTTTATAATGTAACAACATAATTGTTGTGCATTGAGAGTTTTGATATTAAAACTCTTTTCACTTTCTTTATTTTCTTTAGCATCTTATCCTTGTTCTTATAATACTTCACTCCTAGAAATCATAAATTAAATAAGAAATCTATAAACCAAGACTAAATTAAAAAAGTTTTAATTCATAATTATAATTTTATATACAAAAATAAGCACAAACCTAATAAAATTATTGAAATATTTTCATCTCCATCCTACATTTTGCCTCTTTTAAGAAACTAAATAAGACATGGAGATCATAAATAAATTGGTTCTCATGGGTATTATTCAAAACACATTCATGTTTTAAGTACGGATAATACTTTATTTTTTCAATTAGGTATGAGGACGAGATAAGTATGCACATATCCTCCCCGTCCTCATAGCCTCCCAATACTAGGGATGGAAACAAGGTGACATGGGGACAAGTTTCATTATCTCGTACCCATCCTGAAAGAAAAAAAATCATCTCATCCCCTTACACATATCCAATGACTATAACATTTTTATCTAATCCTCACCTTATTGGGTAACGTGTATTCACACATACTCATGTCGATATTTGATTTCTTACTATTTTAATATCAATTAATTATTTTTTATAAAAAAAATAAAAATCATTGCAAAGAAAACATGATATTATCAAATGGATATACTCTTGTTTTTTTAATATAAAATATATAGAAAGAAATTATTGTTGTATATATTATCAAATGGATATACTCTCA